CGAAATCGAGGTCTAAACCAAAATATCATAATTTCATCACAAAATTGACCTTTGGCACCATTTAAAATGGTTGAAATTGGCCCAAATTTTGGCAAACATGTTTTTTTACCAAACGTCATCGATTGCCGCCTGGGGAGCGGAACATTTCAGACTTTCATTTTTTTTGACGCACCCTATGGGACCCACACAAACTGGGTTACGGCCTTCTCTTGGAACTATTAGTGCCAATTATTTTCATTTGTATTTTCTGAGGTAAAAAAATTAGTGGATTTTTGTCGGGATGAATCTCCCAAGTAGTTGAGTATCCAGTCTCCTTGAGCTCTGTTACATTCTTCTTTTTCTCATAATGGACCACTAGACAAGGTACGAATTTAAGCATTCTGACACATGTTTCTTAACCAGAATTTCACGTAGAACACGATTTGCGTAACGAAAATTACTGAAACCAACTCCTAACGGAGATATGATTATTTTTATTTCACATTGGTTACAAGGGATTTGAACTGCCCGCTCACAAGAAACTCAAAGCTCTACGTGAGTCAAATTGCGCACTACTACGGTTTCAGTAATCTTCTCAATCGAGCAATGTTCATTTCCCACCATGTGTTGTTCAAACTATAAGCAATTTGCTATAGCTGAGCCAACGCCTCAAGATTGAGGTTGCCAGATTTTTATATCGCAGAGAAAGTCATGATAAACGTTTAGCGCGCGATGTGAATCACGTAGAGCATTGAGTTTTCATGAGCGGGTGGTTTGAATTCACGCATCAAGAATTATTAAATTTCTTCGTAAGGAGTTGATTTCGGTGATTTTCGTTGTGCGCGTCGTGTTCTACATGAAATTTTGGATAAGAAGCAATGATCAGAATGCTGAAATTCATACCTCGCCTAGTGGTCCATTCCTAGTTTCATCAAAAGTTGACCCACGAGTAATACACGTTTTTGATGATTTTATTGTTGCAGTTGGATTACATGGAATCACTCAAGGAACTAGGAGCAACCGTTAGAGTCCTCAATAGTGGGGAACAAGGACTAAATCGGAAGAATCATACCCTAAATAAAAAATATGCGATTCATTTTTTGCATTTTTTCAATTCCTCTTAATTTTGTAAGTAGTTGTTTTTTCTTGTTGTAAATTAGTCATATTTTGTAAATAAACACAATTTTTTTATCAAAAGAATTTTCTCACAACAGTAGAGCTCTTTGATTTTTCATTTTCAAGATTAACCTCACAGTAATGGTAAAATAATCCCAGAATCACTCAACCAATCGAAGAATCCACAATATTCTAACATTAATTAGAAAATTGCTCAGACTGGAAACATTTCGTAGTACTAACGTACAGAATTGGATCATGAAACATACCCTGAAGATGTTTTCACTATTAGTGCTCTAACAATAAGTTTGCTCATTAATACTTCGTACACTGCAGAATGTATCCTTCAAGAGTTTTTGAGGATGGCTTAAAAAATTTCGAGTTTATTGATACATGAAAAAAGCTGAGCATCATATCATGATGAATTCATTATGCTTCCGAGGCGCTCGTCACTCAGAAAAAGCTTTTGCACAGGACTTTTCCCTGAGACAGAGCATATTCTCCTGAAATAAATAGTGAAATTCCTTTTACTCTTGATTGAACACTTTTTTGACTGTTTATTTTCACAAAAATACAAGTAATCTTCATGAAAAATACAAATTAACAAATTCAATGGCCAATTTCACGTTATGTGCAGTTGTTGACTGAGAAAACTATTGATAAGTTAAAACCTGCTTTCATGGAAGAGATTTTTTTAATGGTAAAATTCTACTTCAACAAACTTCTTACCGACAAATTATTTTGTCCTGTTTCTGAATGATACAATTAATCTGAAAGTGAAATCTGAACATCGGTAACACATTCAATATGTTTAAGTACTTTATCATGATTGCATTTCATTTTTCAATTAACACCATTCTTTAAAAATTGTTTTTTATTAGTTTAATAAGGCATCATACTTCAAGGAACAAATACTGATTATTTATGAGGAATTGTTAATGTTGAGGAAAATTATGCTTGCAGAATGCATAAATTAAAACCTTTCAGTCTTCCATGACAACTGAAGAATTAATTGTATTGTCAACATTTTGACAGCTGAAGTTGAGAAATGCGTATCCTAGATTGCAACATTGTAAGTCTCGGTTTATGTTTTATTTTTTCAAAGGAAAACCAACCAACAGTTCCTATTGAAATCGTCTGAATTTTCTTTACTCGCTCCAGAAAAATCACACAAAATTGCAAGGAAACTTTTTGATTAATTTTCCCGAGAGAAATTAAAACAAAATCAAAGAAATTTAAACGGCGCAACGAGATGCGCATTTTTCACAAGTAGTCATCAAAATACTGATTAGCCATAAGGAATCATAAACAATGAGAAAAATTACGACTGAAGAATGCATAAATTTGTAAACGACGTCTTAATTACCGTTAAAAACGCTTTCAGTCTTCCATGAGGACTAAAGAATTAATTGAAGTATCAACATTCGCTCTTAGATCAGACCAAATTGACTTTCTTCACATTTTTCCTTGTTCTACTTCTCTCATTAAATCAGCTACTTTAATGTAATTAAATCCATTTATAGTCCATTGGTCTTCAACACCTTTCGTGTATTCACGAATGAACCTGCAGTTGAGCAAGTGTATATTTTCTGAAGCTTTTTTTACATCTATTGGGCCCGGAAAAGGTCCCGCTGAAACATTTTGTAGCATCTCATTATCTTTTGAAATCTGGTAGCACAGTGTTATTTCAACGAAACGCTTGGGTTCACCTGAAACTGAAAAGAAGAATGATTTCAATTAACATTAATGAGTGTGACCATGCTCAGGAATAGGAGCATTTGTACATAAAGACGACATTTTTTGAGCAGCAATTTCGGGGAAGATTTGGGTCGAAAAATCTATGTTTGAAATTTTGATAGCAAATGCATCATATTGCGCTAAAGATTCATCTACTTTTGAGGGCGTGTGTCAAAAACTTATCTATTTTTGCCTAATTTGGCTCAGAATAATCCTAAAAAAATTTTGGAGTTGCAATAGACAACCTAACTTGAGCAGAAATTGGACACCAGCAAAAATGAAAATCTAAATATCTGACATGCTCCTGTAGAAACATTTTTTCAACATATTTTAAAACAGACTTTATCATTAAAACTAAAAAACTAAGAGGGATCGATTTATTAAGTTTAGCAGCAATCAATACTACATATGAATTAAAACTGATGTATCCGTGGAACGAAATAAGTCCAGAAGATTAGATTCGGATGGGTCTCTTCAGATGTTGGCAAGAATCAGTTTTCTACAATATTAAAAGCGTACCCCTGGAGTGAGGAGTTTCAAGAACTAAGAACAGTGAATACATAAGAATAAAAAAAAACCTCCTTCCTACCGCACCAAGGAAGGTTAAATCACTCAAAACATCCGGCATGCCCTTTCAGACAATAAATTCTTCCATTTATACAAGATCAAATTGTGCCATTGTAACGCAACAACTGAAAGGGACCTAAAATTTAAAAAAAAAATTTGAAACAGCTGCACCCAACTTTTAATTTTCTTGGGGGGCTTAAACTCTTTTAAACAGTGGAAGTCACTCAGTAGAGTGAATGCGCAAGCTTAGAAATCACATCTACAGGGGGGAAAAGGGAGATCGTCTTACAACCTCTTTTATTTCATTTTGAACTATGAATGCTAATTTCTTGCAATTTACAAGAAATTTTGAAAATTTCAACTTTACAGTCATGGTCTGTTGTTACTTTTTATGAGGAGTTAGTGATGTACTGATGTCTAAGCATTTACAGGCCTAGCACTGGGCGTAGATTGTCACCCTCTTGAAAAATCCTGATTCTACTTACAGTCCATGATCAAAACTCATTAGACTTTTGATAGGAGTGAGCCTGCCTTCATCAGACGTTGCCTAACTTCCTCTTATTCCTCATTTTTAAACACAACAACATTAAAACTTGATACTTCATATGTTCATTCATAATAATCCAGGATAAATTCATGGATGGTTTAAATGCATTAAGTGGTTTGGTGATCTGTTGGGAAAATAAAACGGGAGAAAAAATTAGACAGCATGAAATGATGCTAGGCTGCTTCCCCTTTAGACAGTCCAACTGATAAAAATATGTGTTTGTGCTTACTTTCTTCCTTTGTATCTTCATCAAATATTATACCGATTTCATACATAAATTGAAATATAACATCTTCGAGATCAAAGAATAGCTGACTCTTCTGAACAGTGGATAAAGTTTCTAATTTCGCTTGGATTCTTGCCAGTAACTTATCAGTTAGAAGGCCTTCCAGACTACTGTAGTTACTTTGGCTGAGTCTGGCGCATACAATCTGCACCGCCTGAAACACAAATTCAATACAATGAAAAACCTCAGTTTCTAAAGATGGTATGGGCATATCTTCTTGTTTCAGGGAATTTTAAATAAAATTATATTGTTTATTTATTTATCAAAAATAGTGCATAAGCTTATGAATAAGAATGGTACTTGGCTGTGGATAATGGATGTTTATAGGTGGATACTGGATACGATAGCTTGTAGGAGACATAGCAAAAAAGTTGTTAGATTGCCAAGTCAAAGATAGAGTATAATAGGAAATCTGTGAGATCTAAAATGCAAGGCTTTTTGGATTGACTCCAAATATAGTGATGGCAAAGTTCAATCATAGAACCCTTTGGGATGAAACTTTAGATTCATCATGGGTTTTTTTTTAAATAGTGGCTACATGCGATTATCAAAAATTCACAAGCAGGAAACTGCTATGTTATTACCTTGGTGGCGAACTTTGAAAACTCGAGAGCGTCAAATTCTTTATCCAGATGCATTTGAATTATGAAGGTACTCAAGAACCAATTTCGAATAGTTTTAAAAGGATTTGGTAGATGAATAACAGGTAAGTCTGAGAGTTCCAGTAGCGGAGGGATACCATTTGATCGGTCACTTGTACTATAATTGCGGCTGAAGTTGTGGAAAGGAGAAGATTTTTGCGGGTGCTGAAAATTACTATCTGAATATGAACTAGAAAAAAGGGGTGTAACAAAAGATTTGGGTTGAGCGATAGAACCCCTGATACAGTTGAGAGAGCGATTGTAGGTTAGAAAATCATGTAGCTTCTTCGGAACACTGGAACATGTGTTTCTACTAAATATGCTGACTCCAGGATTGACTTTAAAGATGCACTTTTGTCGAACATCACAACTTAAATAATGCTTGAGGGACACTCCGATTAAAGACGGTTTTACAAAACAACAAACAGATGCCATTGCTTATCAGTAAAAGAAACACTGTGTTTATTTTGGATGTTTACTCTGTACACTTGGCAACTTTTTTATTTTGTTGCCAAATGTCAGTTATAAATAACATGTTCAATGTCATTCTATGTTTTTCGTGTGTGTGTAGTTTCATTCATGACTTTTTAAGTTTATTCGAAACCTAGTTTACGGACGTTGCATTTTGATTTTCATCCCGATCCAACTGTAGTCCGCGGTCCCTATACCTATACCACAGTGGTCTTGATGCAGAAGAAAATGTGACAAAAATGTACCCCAAAACGGTTTGCAGTCTATTTGAAGGGGGTGAGTCTATGATACGCGTGGACTTAATACAGAGGAAAAACCGTATATTACGTATTATCCGGATATTTTCAATTCGCCTTCAGCTGCGTGCTGCGTCTGCAGCAATTGTTGTTATGAGTATGTTGTGCGTACTGATTTCAGCTCATTACATACTTGATTCACTGAAGGCGTTTTACCTGCGAAAGTATAGAGCACCCTGTTGGAGAACAACAGAAGTGAGATTGAATAATCGCTCGATCACTACTTCTTTTATTTGCCGACAGATTGCACTACTTGCGCGCATGAAACGCCTTCAAAAAGTCGAGTATGTAATGAGTTAAAATCAGCACGCACAACATATTCGTAACAACAATTGCTGCAGACGCAGCAGAAGGCGAAATGTTTGGTTAAAAAAAAGAGGATGCTAGGTAGCCTGCGTGGAACGAGAGGGTATGTATTCGATCGGCATGAATCGAACAAAAAATAAAAATGTGAACCAATCAACACTGATTCAATGTATAAATAAATAAAAAAGCGAATCAAAATCAGTAGAAAACTTGCATTTACTATGAACATTTCCAATTGCGATATCTTGATACAAGGATCAGCTAAGATTTTGATTTATCGCGATTTTCACGCGTACCACAGAATAGAATCACCTGGGTCACCCCTTGCAAACCGTTTTTGGGTACATTTTTGTCACATTTTTTTTTTTTTTTATTCAAGACCACAGTGAGGCGTAGTATACCTATATGGAATACTTTCCTCCAGAGTGGTTTCCGTAGGACCCTCTGGCCCCTCCCTGGAAACTTTTTGAAATTTCAACGCTACTTAAGCGCTTTTGGTATGAACTTCTTTCGGAAAGCCTCTTGTCGGCCTCCTATGGTGTAGTGGTTGTAGCGCTTGCTCTATGATCGGGAGGTCCCGGGTTCGATTTCCGGCCAGGCGACCCGAGTTTGATGGTCTCAAACAATGGTTGCCTGGGACTGGTTCAGTAGGGACGGNAAAAAAAAAAAAAAAAAAAAAAAAAAAAAAAAAAAAAAAAAAAAAAAAAAAAAAAAAAAAAAAAAATGAAAATCTTGAAATTTTTTGAATTTCAAGTCCATCCGGACGCTTCCGTGATAAAGATTTTCCATCAATTTCGGCCCCAAAATTAAGCTGTTTTTTTTACTTTCAGCACAAAGTAACTTCGAGTTGTTGGACTCGACAGGTTCGACATTTTTTTGAAACTTTAGCTCTATTTGGACGCATTTTGAGGCTTCAGTGACGAAAATTTTAGAGAATACCATGCAACTGCGTGACCAAGAGGTTTTCATTTAAAACCTATTTAANGGGGGGGGGGGGGGGCAGATGATACTGTATGTACTTTCATTTCTGGAGGGGCCCCCATCCCCTGACTACGCTCTTGGCTTGGTCGTCTACGGCCCAAAACGCCTTCCTAAGTGCAGCTAAACTAGCAACAATCATGCCACAACATTTGCCGCATCAAATATTGAAGGCAAATTGTAACCTGCTAACCTGCCAATCCTGGCATTCCTCGCATACAATGTGTAATGACTCTCTGGCAAGAGGGTTGTAACGCTACGAACAAAAAAAAAGAAGGCAATTCTGGAGTAAAAGTGTGGTAAATTCGCAATATTCCGTTATTTTCCTCAGTTGATGAGCGATATTCATTACCGCGATTTCTCCTGAAACTTGGCAACATCTACGGATGTTTGATGAGTCATCGATTGAATGTTTACGTCAATCGTTTTGTTTACAATGGCGGCCCGCTATCATAGAATAATAAGGCTACGCCTATAGAAGAGTCACTCTCGCAGTTTTCGTGACGAAGAAGAAGAACAGGGACCTGGAGCTCTTGAGCTGGAGCTGGCGGGTATTGTTTACATTCAGAAATGAAAATGGCGGCAATAGCCAACTGTAACACTCTAACTGTAGCTGATCACATGTGATTTTATCAGTCATCTGGCCAGCATGAGCACGACGAGGCTGTGGAAATCGTTTTCGTTACATTAATTTTGATACTCAAACTCTTTTACTCTGTGGCAGTGACTTTTACACTTACATAACATTAGACTCTTCTTTGGCACCACTGATTACATTTGGCAACCCTGCAATCAGCTAGGCCCTACTATTACATTTGACAACCTTGCAAAGAGCTGGCGGGTTCAGAAAAGTATAGGGCAACGGGACCTAACCAAACCTGGACACAGCAGGCGAGAGTCACAACGGCCACTTACGCGAGTGACTCTTCTATAGGCGTTAGCTTTATTATTCTATGCCGCTATCCGCTTTCTTCTCAGGGCGTAAAATGGGCGTAGAGTTTTTTCCGATGATTCATAATTGCATTACACGAAGTAATTCCGGATAATTTGTAATTTCTGCTATTTTCTGCGTTTCAATAATCTGTGTAATTTTTTCCTTCGTTTAGGTAAGTCAAACATGTAACTCGAAAGTGCTTCTCTGATGCACCAGGAACTACCTCTTTGAAGAGATTCTCTCTTTTGATTTTCATAAATCATCCTATTCTGATTACTTTAGAAGGATATTCATTCTAAGGAGTTTGAATAATTCATCCATCTCTGCCAGTTATTATTAGCCTCACTGAGAAAATCATGAATGATATTTCTATTGCAAACGAGTCGAAGTGGTGTATCCATCGTCCCCATTACTTCTTTGCCTTAGAGTTTTACTTGAGGGACTGGTACTGAAGGTGCATAGCTCTGTTTTCACGAGGAATCCGCTTTGATGCATCTTTGAAATTACTATCCCAGGCTGAATCATCGCTAAACCTATATCACCTATGAGAGGCAGTCCTGTCTTTCTGTAGAATCTACGTGATGTGTGTCAAACCTCTCACGGTTAGAAGGTGCTATTAGGAGAATGCAATGTGACAGATTGACTTAGTCAAAGTTTTTCAGTGTGGTCAAGGTAGCAGAAATATCTTTGTACCCTCCACGCATGGCAAACTATGACCCTCATATTGAGGAAGCAGAGGCGATAGACCCTGCGCATTCCTATTATATCAACCTTTTCCCCTTCAAGTTCTGTCCTCTATTTTCTTAATTTCTGTTTTCCTCTACGCTTACTCATATCATGTCATTCAATCCTACCCTCCCTCAATGCTGTAAGCAAAAAATTAGGATCCATGGGGACGTTATTGTCTTATGAAAGCCCTTTATATTAATTGCCCTAGCCTAAAACCAACAGGTGCTTAATTTTCTACAGGGATTTTTTTAATTCTTAGAACACGATGGATTAGGATCTTTGTGTTTCATAGTGGTATGATGAAGGTTAGGATTGCACTTAACGGCTCGAACCCTCTTCGTGAGATGGAGTCAAGTTTCGATTGGAGCACAAGAAATGGACTCGACTGCACTAGTTGACCGGTATATAAAAGCGGGGTGTTTCATCACATCCCATTGCGATCTTTTGTGGTTCGGATAAGAAAAAAGCCCTCATGGGATGACCTTTTTTAGAGCTTACATTGGATAATAATTCAATGGGGGAACTGCAGAAACGTGTATCTTGGTTTGCAGCGTTGCAGATTTCCCGTCATACTTTATTTTCTATGAGGGAAACTACTGAACATAATTTTTTGATAATGTCAGTGATTTTTCTACTCTCTATGAAGAATATTCTGTGAAGACTTCAAGCCATGATGTTGGTTTAGTCTACTTTAAAAAAGTAAAATAGTAGTGGAGATCGTGAAACACTGCAACCAAGATATGCATTTTTGCAGTTTCATCGTCAACTTGTGCTCCAATGAGTTTTTTCCCTCTGTATTGAGATTTTTAGTTCTACACTGAATCCTAACGCACATCGGCAAAATTACCAACTTTTTATCTAAACGACTTGGGTGTTGAACCGCAATCAACTTATTTTGACTGCAATCTTACCCATCAACAGTAGAGGAGCATTACCCAAGGGCAAAAATGCAGCTGTGCACAGCTGCCCAGGTACGTCAAATGGCTCACCGGGCGTGAAACCACAATGGAAACAAAAGTCACCTTATCTGATGCAAGTTTTATTAGCTTTTCTCTGGTAGAATTTGAAACCATCTGTATCCAAGGACTGAATGTATTGGAGGAGAATGAAATTTGAATAATTCAAATTTTATCACGCTTAAGCCTCTCCGTTTTCCCAATGAGCCTGAGGTGAGAATTAGAAGCTTATTTCCGCCAAGTCTGAGGTTGGCTCATCCTTGTTCCAAATGTGGCCTTATACCTACAAGCAGACAGTTAAAAGGAATTTATTCAGATTGAAATTACAATTTAATTAATATGTATAGTTATAAAATTTTAGTGTGTATACCTCCCGCTAAAAGCTTGTCAACTGTTTGTTTTCATTTGCAGAGATGGACAATTTTGGGCCCATTACCCTTAAATGGGACCCCAAGAACCTCGAAATCCGCACTATGTCTGTAGAGAAAACCTTAGAGCCTCTCGTTCTTCAGGTTTGTGGAAACAATTAGTGACTTTTTTTAGGTCCGAACTTTTTAATCAAGAGAAGCTTACTTGCTACCAAATGTCTGAAATCGAAAGTTGCATGTGCTGAAAAATGCAGCACCATTGCTCAAAAGTGGCATGAAATATCAATGTACAAGACTTCAGACTGCTTCTTACCACCTAGCTCATCTTCCTCCATGTCTCTGTAAGGGAGTGTTAGGGTTTCCCTATTGAATGCCATTACCACCAATCACCAAACTGCTTTCTTAACGAATTTGTCGGTGCTTTCATTACAAAGCTCCTGTTGGTAGATTCTTTACCACTGATCTCTCCAATTGATAGATGAGCTGATTAGGAAATTCTCTGGTTCTAAGCCTCTTGCTCACCAGTGGTAAAACTGAACCTCGAAATCACCAATGATCATAGAGAAAGAAAGGAAGTGTTTGCATCTTGAGGATTGTGTACCCTGTGACGTAGGTTGGTACAACCTGGTCAGCAAAATCCGAAATTCGAAGTATGAAAAACGGACCATAACATCCGATTTTTTTTGCTTAAGTCAACTCATGATATAATTTCTAACACTTTACGTAGAATGCATTTTTTCCATAAACCACATTATTTCCAAGAAAATTGATGATGAAAGTCGCTATACTGACCTACGTCATCAAGAAAAGTCCAAGATGCCCCAAATGCAAACACCTCTTTTTTTTTTTCTCCATGACTAATAATGACAACAAATATCTGATCTGAGGTAACTGTTCTTAAATGGTGACCAATGGAGAACCACAGGTGGATTTGCTTATCACCAAGAGAAAACCCTTTAAGAGAGTAATAATACATACAAAAGGAGTGAAGAAGTAAAGATCAAAGTGGTTTGAAGTTGATTTGAAGATTTGAATCTTTTTTTTTATCTGCGCCAAGAGATGTTTATCGCCGAGTGTCTCAAAGTTAATCATGAAGATTTCATTATTTCAACTTTGGGCGAGGAGAGACTTCTCTAAAATTTTTCTATCAAATGGTTAATGGATTATTAATCAATGGATTAAATAATTTATCTGCTGCCGTATTGAAATTGCTCATCTATTCTATCTCTCATTATTCTTTATCTGTCTCCAAATTCAGGTCACCACTTTAGTGAACACCAAAGGTCCATCAAAGAAAAAGAAGGGTAGATCTAAAAGAGCTCATGTCCTCGTGGCTGCTGTAGAGAAGGCCACCGAAAATTTTATCGAGAAAGGTGAACAAATCGCTTATGAAAACCCTGACATAAAACAAGAAATGCTTGCCGCAGTTGAGGAAGTTCGCAAAACAGGTATATTATATTTAATAATCAGTCCTGCAATAGTGTCTGCTCCCCTTTTTCAGCCGTAGCCAAAAAGTTGCATTTGTTATCAAGTATCTTTATTAGCCCTTTTCGTTTACTTCATCATGAACGAAATCTCAGTTTTTACGTTTAGCTGTCTCTAGAGCTTACCTGCCAATTTAAGGTAGAAAAAACAAATGTCAAGAGATTATAAACACCTAATGAAAGTTTTGTAATTTAATACACTATTTACTTTACGATAGATGTTTGCAGGAAATAGTTTTTTGGTCCTCTCTTAGTCACCTGCCCACCAACATAAGTCATAATGTAACAATTTCATGCTGTGTCTTAATCTCCTAAACTGCAAATTTTCCTCTAGCAAATCATTCAATTAAAGAATGATCAAACGCTTAAAATTTGTTTATTGTAGGGATATGGGTTTTAAGGTCAGAGGAAACTTAATTTGTTTTCTTTTTGACATCTCATTAAAACAGGATTGGAGAATTTCATTCAGTTTGAAAACAACTCATCCCTAGAGTCTTCAATCTTCTATATTTTTTAGACAAAACAAGTGAAAACTATCGTAGCATTGCCTGCTAGTTTCTTAATGGCTGAACCCTATAGGCCAAAAGTATTCTCCAATCATGAAAAACTCCCAGCTTCGATCAGTTATTTTGTTATTTATTTTTTCTCTCCCTCAAAGTTAAATTGTTTTTGAAATGAACGATTCAACTAATATTGCATCATTCTTTTACTATTTGGAGTAAGTATTCTTGAGGGTTGTGATTTCATTTACCACTTCAATGGGTTACTTTCGTTTTTGCAGGTGAGGCTATGAGTATTGCTGCCAGAGAATTTGCCGATGATCCCTGTTCATCCGTCAAACGTGGGAACATGGTCCGCGCTGCGCGGAATCTTTTGTCCGCCGTGACACGGCTTCTCATCCTGGCAGATATGGTCGACGTTCATCTACTCCTGAAGTCTCTACGAGTGGTGAGTTAACTTTTACATATATATTGTCTTCTACAAAAGTGCATTTTCCATTCTGTGGGCAGTCTCACAGATAAAATATATCCTCTTGAGTAGCCAAATGATCTAAACCATTAACTTCATTTATTTCTCAGTTCTAATGTTCGTAGATTCACCTGTAATTTTTATATGGGTATTAACAACGTTTGATATTCTTTGACAGGTTGAAGACGCTTTAGAAAAGGTGAAAAAAGCTGAGAGCCACCCAGAGTTATTGAACAACATCAATGCATTTGGCTGCAAAGCTTCAGAGCTAATGGCACAAGCAGCAAAGCGACAACAAGAACTAAAGGATCCTCAGTTACGTGATGATCTGGCCGCTGCTCGAGCTGTATTGAAGAAGCACTCGACTATGTTACTAACTGCCTCAAAGGTACAGTATTTGCGTAATTTCTGTCTCTTCTCTAAGGCTACTTTCAAAAAAGCAACTTTCAGGCAGGGAAAAGAGGATGAAACCAGAAAGTTACTTGCTCCATTGGAGCACAGCAAGCCTAGTAAATTCAAGCTCCAAGAAAGTTCAGTTTCTCAATCAATTTTGACGGAAACTATGAATAAGACTTCTACTGTCTGGAAAAAATATGAATACACTAAAAAAGCACAGATTTTAAAAGGTCAGTATTGGAACATGTATAGAGTTTTTACATAAAGAGACAGAAACTCAAGATTGATGAGCCTAAAGAGAGAGTCTTGGAGGGGTGCAATTCTGAACTTCAAGTTCTTTTGTCTCAAAGACATGGTTTTGTTGCGAATTGATAATATTGAAAAATGTCATTTTAAGTATCTGATACATTCAACGTTTGCCATTTTCAATCGTTTGTACTGTATAATAACTTCCGAGTTAATGAAAATCTATGATATTTCATGATTTTCAACTGCCACTCGAGTGGAGCCATTTCCCTGCAGAGCAGCTTAAAATAATGTCCCATTAGCATGTCTTGTTGATTCACAACGTAAAATGCCTCATTAGAGCATGAAAAGATAGAATGTGGAAATCTGGCTATTGCCTGGAAGTTTTTGTTTCATTTTCTCATTTACATGAATTTCTTTGCCAAGGTTTATGTGCGTCATCCAGAATTGGCCGCTGCAAAAGCAAATCGAGACTACGTCTTGAAGCAAGTTTGTGAAGCAGTTAACACAATCAGTGATGTGGCTCAAGGTCGTGCCCAAGGTGGAGATCACCCATATGATGGCCCTGGTGAACTTGCTGCTGCTCTCGACGACTTTGATGTAAGAGGAAGCTCCATATTCATTTTATGCAGATTTATTGCCTGTTTTGTTGATGTATATTTCTTTAAAATTGCCCATTTTTTCAAAATTCTTTACCTTTCTTTTTCTCTCTGTACAAAAATATGCTGTCTTTCTATGTGTATTTTACGGAAAGATTGTTCTTATATCAGAAAAAAAGCTAGATATTGATTTAATTCTTACTATTATCAGCATTCTGCCAGTCCTTCGCATTTAAAATTTTCTATAATTTCCAGAAACTTCAAAGATCTCTCTTTGTAATTTTGAGCGCCTAAAATTTAGATAAATCAATGCATATTCTTCTTCATTAATGTGCACCTTGCATTTTTACCTCTCTCAAAGAATTAAAACTAAAAAATAAGTAAGCCTTATCACACCACACATCAATTCAGTCATTGACTATCAATAAATCAATATTAACTAAATGGTACTTGAGTTGCGGTGTCGACTGGGCAATCTTCAGCTCAGTAATTCTACTTGTAAATTCCAGTGCACTGTCTCAATGCTTTTATGAAAACAATTATTTATGCTATTTTCTTTTTAGCAGCCTAATTAGACGTATTACACCAACAATTGTAAAATTTCACAATTTTAAATTAATAAGCTTGCTGGTCTAGGAAAATGAATCAAGCCTGGATGGTTTCTAAAACCAATGATGAAAACAGACAAAAAAGTTAATTGCTTCTTGTGGAGTCTCATTTTTTTTCAATTTAAAGTAACATCAACAGTGGAAATTTAAATCTAAAAAAAACTTGAGTGTCAGTTTTCAATCGGAAGAAAATCATTTTTACAGTTTCAAAATTTTGTTACTCTAGGAACGAATGGTCATGGATCCTTTGGCATACAATGAAATTCGTACTCGACCCTCCTTAGAAGAAAGGTTGGAGAGTATTATCAGTGGTGCTGCACTCATGGCCGATTCTTCCTGCACCAGAGATGAAAGGAGAGAAAGAATTGTTGCTGAGTGCAATGCTGTTCGTCAGGCACTTCAAGACCTCCTTTCGGAATACGTTGCCAATGTAAGTTCAATTTCTGTTGCCTAAAAAACATTCTCAGTTGTCTTTAAACTTACAGGTGGCCTCAGTACTCAGAGCACTAGATTTCAGTCGAGTCTTTCTCCTTGATTGTTAAAAATGTATCTCCTTTGGAGAGCAAATCCCAAAATTAGAAGAAAATTGGAAGTTACAAGTCGCCTTATAGCTATTGTGCCTGACCATATGACGTAGCTCGACCATAAAAAGCAACGGCAGTTGCTGGATGCCAGCATAAATCTCTCTGAATCTGAGTACCTATTTACAGTAACCACCAAATGTGGCTTCATGGACTAAATTATATATCAAATATTCTCTTTAATCCTGAAATGAATATTCCCTTTTTTTCAAACATTCTCTCTGAACAAACTTAAAAATTTGTCCCTTCCCTTTTTCTGCCCCCATGTTCAATCCAAACTTCTATGTTTCCAATAGTCTAAGGTTTCTAATCTAATCATTAAAGCAAAAAAAATATTGAAAATATAGGTGTTAGTCCAGATCAAGAGTGAAATTTCATGGCATTCAGTTTAATGACAAAAAAAAAAAAAAAAATAGTCCTGTCTGCATGGGTGACTTTAGCCAGCAGGAGTCACTCACCTCAAAATTCTGCAATAAAAAATCTGGGCTTTTTTTATGGTTAATATCTTGGTAAGATTTTGATGTAGAGGTGCGATGTCATTTCAACTTCCTTATATTCCATTGGTTTGGACCCATTTTGTAAATAGGTAAAAGTTTACTTGTAGACTTGAGGAAAACTGAAATGTCTAGAGGAGGAACAAAATATATGAAATCATTATGAGGGTTCATCAAAAAATGGATTATCATCCTGTCCGTATTTTTACAGTGTTCTTGTACAAAAATTTTCTTTTCCATAAAAATACCAATTTCACATTTTTACTCTTTTTGTAACAAAATCTTTGTTTATTGTTGGGTGCAGCAACTTTCAATTCAGAGAGGACCTAAAAGAGTAAGCCCATATTAATGTACATGTGTTTGATCTTGTTGTTTTTGTGTTTTTTGCTGGTTTTGTATGTGTGTCTCATCGCTTCTTTTTCTACACTTTCGTTTTTTACTTTTATCTCATTTAGAATTGGACTATTTTATTATTTATTTATTTATTTATTTATTTTTTTTTTTGTGTTTAAACATGAATGCAGTTAAAAACTTTAGTATTCATTTTGTCGTTGTCTAAGAGTGTAGTAAGAGAGGGAAGTCCAAAGGACCCTGCACACCTCTTATTTATGTCATTCGATTCTCCTCAAGATGCTGATCAAAAGTTATAATTGCGCCAACTTTTTACGATGCAACGTTTTCGCAAAAAAACCGCCAAGAAGATTCAATTATTCGGCGACAATGAATAAAAACGAACAAAGCATTTGAGAACAGGCCCGATGTAAATAAAGAAAAAACGTAGCGCGTGTCCATCTTCTTATCTGTACCTGCCGACTCAGGGGCTATCTCCCTCCCGCTCTTGCCCGATTGACGTTCCGACTTTCCTGTTCTTATGCTCCTCAAGAATCTGCTTTGGATGGTTCAGCAAAACGGCGTGCGGAATCCGAGATAAGACTGCCGCTGGGTGCGGGAGTTCTCATGATTTCCTTGTTGACACACAGCCGCTTGTCAATCGAGTACTGAAATGAGGAATCTTTCTGTCTTTTGCTGTCCGCCGAATAATTGAATCTTCTTGGCGGTTTTTTTGCACAAACGGTGCATCGTAGAAAGTTGGGGCAATTATAACTTTTGATCAGCATCTTGAGGAAAATTGAATGACATAAATAAGTTAGCATTCGGTCATGGTGCAGCTTCCCGTAAGAGGTGTGCGGAGTCCTTTTTAATTTTCTTTCTTTTTATATCAACATTAGTTTTACCAGTTTAATTTAATGAGTATTATTCTTCCTTATATGCATCCTCAACTCTAGGCCTTTCTGGCTGCACTGTATATTGTAGAAGATTTTCCTTACATTCTTCGATATCCGCAAAGTGTGCTCCTTAATTTTACACATCAATTGGAAAAGCTGTTTCTGCTATAGAAGAAAAAAATGAAAGTCTTTCATTACCGAAGATAAAATTCTACCATCCAAATTTGAGTCAGCTGTTGTCTTGCAATCTTTTATCTGAATCAGACAACTCTATGATGTCAAATTGGATGAAAATATCGCATGAAAACACAAGGTGGTAATTGAAAGACTTCTCATCCCCCTGTTCCCCCGCTTAAAATGACAAAAATTGTCAATTTTTCACTCCTTAAGAAGGTCATCACTTTTGAGAATCGTTACTTGCAATTTAGTGTTTAATTTCTTTACATATTGTGATGATCATGGTATTAATTTTCAACGTTCCACTATTCTGTTAGAACTAGTAGCTTTTCATTTTATTTTTTATTGCAAATGTGTTGTATGAGGCTCTTGTCAACTTTTGTAGTATTTTAATTCAAAAGGTTGTTTAGGAGAAGCAAGTAAAATATCCAAAAAGTCCAGCATACTTTTTTATGACAGAAAGTAGAGTCTTGCAGTCTTGAAATCTTGCTAAGATACCCTAATTATTTCCTTTCTTCGAGTTCGAGAATTAGGTATTTTATGGTTTTTTGCTGTTCAGCTTGTTTTGAGTTTATTTCAGTCAGCAAGAACTTTACATTTTTTTTTAAATGTTTGTTTTTTTATTACCCTTGTCAATGCATGATTTTACACATCCTACAAACTTTCGAAATTTAGAATTTTAAATAGGAATAATCTGTTTTTTTTTTTTTATTTATTTATTTTACAAAACCCTCCAAATAAAAACCATAAAATGAACTGATACTCTGATTCAAGTAAATTTGAGCAGTCAAAATCAGGGAGGGAAAGATATAATTTTTAGGTTCATCAATCATCATTAAAGTTTGGGTTCTGCCCAACGATTTTTTACATTCTGCTGGAATAAAATAGTTAGGCGGGCATTAGATATAGATATAAGGAAACAAATGTTTCTTTTCTAAAAGATTTTTTTCCTCTGCAACCGCATATCTCAGTCATGTTTTTGAGAGGTTCATCAACCATCACTTTCCAAATGTTCCTCCAGGATTTTAGACCTCATAAAATTTTTAGAAAGATTTGATTAGTGGCCTAATAGCTTTTTTTCTTATTTTAATCCCCCCATATTTTATCTTAGCCTTAGTAAAATATTTTTTTACTCTTTCTTGAACCATTCATTTCAATTAATCATTCTTCTTTCTAGATGAGTGTCAAAGATACCAGTGAAGGTCTGGAACGGGCTATTGATCACATGTGCCGGAAAACTCGAGATCTCCGCAGACAGTTGCGCAAAGCGGTGGTCGATCATGTGTCTGACAGGTATGACATCATTTTTAATGATCAAACGTACACAAATTTTGATTTAAAAAAGTGTGGGTTAAGAAAACCCTGAATATTGACGATACCGACAAGTTCTTGGAGCTTGCAAGGCTGTTAGTGCATCTTAGTGAAGGATTTTCAGTTAAAAGTCACCTCTGTAAAACATGGGTTGTGATCTCTTTTCTGGCTTTGATTGGAAAAAGGTTTTGATTTTGAAAAGTTCTAAAGGCTTTGAAATTGCAGCATTTTCTGAAAGATGCTCAAAACACGCTTGAATTTTACTTTTTAGCAATTTTAGAGGTACTTGATTGTATCAAAGAAAGAAGGAACCATTTTATTTACAGGTGTGTTATGTTATTTTTTAGGTGGTCGTAAAAGGTGTCCCAAGAAAAATCCTAGAAATTCTGAAGGAGAAATTTAATCAGACAGAATTTTGATTATTAAAAATTGATGTTAAGGGAAGAAGCAACTAAGATTAGGAGTAAATTTCGAAAAAAATGCTTTAAAGAGCGCCTCCTGAGGTTGCAAGAACCATGACAAACAAGTTTACCAATGAACCTCAGTGTTCTCTCTAAATAAATACATATTGAGTGTGGAGTGAAAATAATTCATGAATTGTGATCGATTAGTACAACTTACTTTTCTTAATGACGTTCAGAATAAAAATGAACAACTGAAATACAATGTTTGATTATTTTTGTCACTTATATTTAAGTTGCCTTCTACGTTTGTTTCAGCTTTTTGGAAACGAGTGTACCTTTACTTGTTCTGATCGAAGCCGCCAGAGCAGGAAATGAGAAGGAAGTTGAAGATTATGCTCTTGTTTTTACTGAGCATGCAAACAAATTGGTTGAAGTAAGTTCCTTACCTCTTTTATAAATCAACCCTAAATTTTACTTAAAATAACATTGCCGAATACTGATGAATTGCTCTTAACACTACCATGTTCCGTACTGCCAAATTACCACTCTATAAGGCTAAACATTCTCTAAATAAGAGGCCTTATATCAAGAAAACGATGTTTAATTCTAAGAAAGACAACGGTTGAAAAATTTAGATATGTTCCCAGACACTTGATAGACAGCTGGAGGAATCATTGGAATGCTGTCTTTTCACAGTGTAAGTGGGAACTGCAAATGGATTTACTACAATCGATGATGAGGTTCAGCAAAAAATTGCATTGCGCAATTTCTAGCATCATTAATTGTATCTGTGACTCCGTTTGCAAAAGAGTTAATGCCCTTCATTCATGTCTGCTAAAGAGGAAAACAGCTTAGTCTCTTTTTGGAGAAGAGTTCATAAATCTCAGGTTCATAAATCTCTTTTTTGAAATTTCTTGCATTCATCAATATAAATGGTTTTATAGCAAAATTTCAGTCTGAAGATTTAGGACTCTCAGAATACATGATTTTCTTGTTAATTTAACTTAACTTCATTCATAGGTTGCTAACTTGGCATGCAGTATGTCAAACAATGAAGACGGTGTCAAAATGGTGAGGTACGCAGCAGCTCAAATCGATAATCTCTGTCCGCAAGTCATCAATGCAGCCAGAATTCTGGCCGCTCGACCCCGATCAAAAGTCGCCCAAGAGAATATGGATGTCTTCCGAGATGCATGGGAAGCGCAAGTACGTGTTTTGACGGAAGCTGTGGATGACATAACTACCATCGATGATTTCCTTGCTGTATCAGGTAATGAAAATATTTTAAGAAATAAGAGTTTCATTCTTTTCTTTTAAGAAATTCTATGAAATATTTGTGGTAAAACCATCAAATCCAAATGAGCTGTTGGTTCAATAATGTATGAAGTAGTACATCCTTGTAAAATAGGTAAATTTAAGATTGCACCAGGATTGATGCTTTAAGTCTTATTCTTAATCAGGTTAAATGTGCAATATGTAAAACTAGAAAACAAAATTTTTAGAAAAGCACAACTTTAAGTAGATGAGTGAGCTCCGAGATCAAGTTTGAAGTGAAAAGTTACTAGTAACCAATCCCTTTTTTATCCATATCAGTACATTATGTATGAATCCAAAAATTAGGACTTTTTTCTTCGTTTTGATCAGCAGAAACTTGAAGAAATCCAGTGTATTTTCACCTAGAAGTCTGTGAAAACTCAGATCAAACTTTTGCGCCCAAGATGTTTCGTTTTCAATACCGTGCTGGATCTATCTTTAACATATCAAAAATAAAAATTCCAGAAAACCATATTTTGGAGGACGTGAACAAATGTGTGCTGGCTCTACAAGAAGGAGACGCAGATACATTGGATCGTACGGCTGGCGCCATTCGAGGGCGCTCAGCTCGAGTCTGCAACGTAGTAACTGCGGAAATGGATAACTACGAGCCAGGAATCTACACAGAGCGTGTAATAGAAGCCATCAAAGTTTTACGTGATCAAGGTGAGCTCATATTGCACTACAATACAACTCAAGAATAGTTTTTGAACAATTTACTTCTGTGTTTTTAAATTCACTAAAGCCCCAACATAATGAAAATTTTCTTTCAAAAGCCTATGTACTTTTTGAGATCTAGAATCATGTGAGATTATGTTTCAGTCAATTTTTACTCGCTTCTCTTTCATCATTTCTCATTGTCTTATTTTTCTCAGTGAGTTTGCTTACACACATGAATTACATGTATCTTTTTTTATATATTTTTAGTCATGCCAAACTTTGCACAAAGAGTAGAAGTAGCTGTCGATGCTCTATCGTCAAACCCTGCCAAAGATGTAGATGAAAATGAATTCATCGATGCTTCCAGACTCGTCTATGATGGAGTTCGAGAAATTCGAAGAGCAGTTCTCATGAATAGGGTAAGATATTTGTATCCGATGATCTTCTACTCTGAAAATTTTAGATTGTATGGAAAGGAGTAAATTTGATTGTCGTAAATTAACAAGTCAGAGGAGGAAAAATAGTGTCAAGCTGCCAAAAAGTTTTCAATGTAATCGTTCAAAACTTAAAATAAAAAACATATAACATGCTCGATCATCTATCTAATAAAGACTTGACTATCTATCTAGTATTATGTATTCATTTCTTTAAAATAAGAGGTCTTTCGTGACAAATTTCATTGTTTTAATTTGCATTATTAAAAGAAACCGAAAAAAAAGTAAATCATAGTACACTTTGTGAAAATGATTGATGTAATTATGATGACGAAAAGCCTCCTGCCATCGAGTTCAATAATCTTAGTTGTGAAATTTTACGTCACTGCTAAAAAGTTTTTGGTTTGTAAACAATATTTATCCACACAATTTGAGCCAAATTTGTTGCAGTTAATGTACAATCATTGACAGAATCATGTTTTTGAAGTTTGATAGTATGTATTTTTAATTTTTTCTTTCTTTCTTTCTTTTCTATTAGACTGACGAAGAGCTGGATCCGGAAGATGTGGAATTGGATGAGCACTACACAATAGAAACCCACAGTAGATGTAAGTTCAGACCCAAAATAGATTTTCCAAGTATATAGTGGTGTCCTGAATATCTGTTTTACACTTTCTCTCTTTTTCTCTTTCAATTCTCTTGTGATCTTACGCATGATTTGGAGAACATATCCTGACACAAAATAAAACACTTTACTGGCAAAATTAAATGCTCGAACATAGTATTAATTTTTAAAATCTAATTATACCCAGTATCCCAGGGCCCATTCTACCCATTCTGGTCAAAAACCTTTTATCAATGCAAAACTTTTTATGCTACTTTTGGGTTTTTAAGAGCTTGCATGATATATGTCATGGTCTGAATAACATTCTCAGTCCTGATGGGACATTTGGAGATAAGAGTCTCAACTTCTAGTTAAAATTTAACAGTACCTATAATCATGAAATATTAACCGGTAGAAAAATCTGTTATAAGAGGTGATAAAACCGGGTCTTAGGATTATTATAATTTGAATTTTTTCTGTTTTCTTCAACTGGAATTCAGCTTTAATCTCGCTCTACTTTTAAGTCTTCCATTTCTCTCTCTCCTCTTCTCTTCTTGAAGATCTTAATCAACGCAATTATCCCCATATTTTCTGTTTCAGCGAGTGCCAGAACCGGTGAACATGGTGTTGATGAATACCCTGATATCAGTGGTATCACCACTGCAAGAGTGAGTATAATTCTAAATTTTTTTCTTGACTTTTATCCTCTCATGTTTAATGTCATGTTGCTGTCAAAAAACATTCAATATCATAAAGGTCACTACCGGAAAAGTAAAGGCAGATTTTAAAAATTAGAAGTTTGCAAAGTAGCAAACGAAGGTTCTCAGTACCTAATTTAGTTCTGTCATTGATTTCTGTAAATCGCAACTTTTAGCATTTGGCAAAGTCTCGACTACCTTATTTGAAGTCAATACTGGACAAGTGTGTAGATCATTAAAACCTAAAAGGACTCGTTTAAGCATATTTTCTCTCCAGTTAAATTTCTACATAATTATTTTCTCCGTTCTTTCCTTGTATACCATGTAATAACACAATTCAATTTTTTCTGTCCTTTTTTAGGAAGCAATGCGTAAAATGACGGAAGAAGACAAACAAAAGATCGCGCAACAAGTAGAGTTCTTCCGAAGTGAGAAATTGAAATTCGATCGTGAGGTAGCTAAATGGGACGACACAGGGAACGATATTATCGTTTTAGCTAAACACATGTGTATGATCATGATGGAAATGACTGATTTTACGCGGTAGGTGTCTTTTTCAATCTTATTACCTGCACATCCTGACTTTTGAACATAGTTACCCTTTCACTAATTTTTTTGCTGAAGCAACCAGTTTTCTATATTTGCTCCAGCTCAGTTCTTTTTTAAAAGAATGGTAGCCTTTTTTGCTATAGAGAAAAAAGGATTGAGTAGGTGCAAAATTGCGTTTAGGAATGAGTCGACTTTTCTAACCCCCAGCATTAGTCTTAAATGCCAAGAACTAAGAGGCTTTGTCATAAAATTCTCGTTTTGTCCGGATTGCGTTATTTAGGGGAGGGGGAGGCGAGAGAAAAAAAATTGCCAGAACTCTGTTTGTTTTGGAGAGAGAGTGATAAAGTTTTTCCTACTATTGGCAATGTAAAATCAACATTTAGCCCTATGAAAACCTATTAATTCATCAGCTAAGATGGTATTTTGACAAAAGTGATTTGAGTTTGAATTTATGAGCTTTGCAGTTGCTTAAATAAAATTTTAAACTGAGTAATTTTATCAATGCTATTCATGCGTTTTTTTCTGTCTCCAGTGGACGAGGTCCATTAAAAACCACCATGGACGTTATCAATGCTGCCAAAAAAATTTCTGAAGCTGGTACCAAATTGGATAAATTGACGAGTCAAATAGCAGACCAGTGTCCAGAGTCGTCTACCAAAAATGACTTGAAAGCGTATCTACAGCGCATAGCTTTATACTGTCATCAGTTGAACATAACCTCAAAAGTGAAAGCCGACGTGCAGAATATCAGTGGAGAATTAATTGTATCAGGGGTAAGTCATTTTTTCCTTCTGAACCATTCCTGAGGATTTCTTGAATGGTTTCAAGTATTTCTGCTGTTGGTTTCATCTCTCAGCTCTTACAACCCAAGATGAATTTTAATTAACTTATCTGAATTTGCTTTAATGCATTAAATTTGTTCTTTTATAAATTTTACATCCTGTTTAGTGGTCCAATGCAAATCACATTGCAGGCAATGGGATCATTTTACCGCTTTTGTCTGGCATTTTGAATTGCTTAAAACGCACTTACAATCCTACAGTTGTGGGAGTCGATTAAATGTATAATATTTTTGTCCTTTTCTCAATGAGGAGTGCATAATAAAGAATTTTTTATCTTTCTTTTCTTTTCAGTTGGATAGTGCTACTTCTTTAATTCAGGCTGCTAAGAATCTAATGAATGCTGTGGTGCTAACTGTCAAGTCTTCATACGTAGCAAGCACAAAGTATCCTAGACAGGGAACAGTTTCGGTAAGTGTATTGTCATATTTCACCCTCTTTCTTTTTAAGTCATGGCGCGTTAGTCTATCTCTGAATAGCCAGGCTTGAAGTTCCTCTTTTTCATCTAGGTACATACATTAGTTTTTTTTTAATTGAAATGTGACCCAATAATTTACATGATTTATAAATTTAAATAATTTTTTTTCTAAATTTCTAGTTCAATATTATTTTTAATTTCTAAACCTTTTCCCTCCTTGCACCGTGGACTCCAACCTTCTTTTCTTTCCTCAAGTTCGCTGAGCAACATTCTAGTACTTCTCATCCCAGTTTTGTCTAGAATGTTATTTCTAACTTTTGTACCCATCAGTTCATAGCTCTCCGTCTGACGCTTATATTATTTCTGATTTGAAACACTACTGAAGTAAAAGCATGTATCTTTCCTGAGAACCAAGCGTTTTCTCAATCACTTAATTTTTTTCTTTTTTTTATAAAAGTGGATGTTGGGATTTAAATAACTTGAACAGAATCAGATTCTGAAGTAGAAACAAAATGTGACAGAAGAAAAACGATTTCTTTTGATATGATGAAATTGTGACCTTAGTGATAGTGTTCAAGAAAGAACAAGTATGTTGGAACAACATATTGTTTTAAAATCAGGTTCTTCAGTGTTCAAGATGATGATATCCCCTTTTTTCTACAATGATAGTGAGAATTCTGTCTCAGTCAACAGCCAATAAAAATGTTGCACTCAAGATTGTTCATCTATCACATGGTCCCTTAAAACATGTTTTTCTCTCATTTCAGTCTCCAATTGTCGTCTGGAAGATGAAGGCTCCCGAGAAGAAACCTCTCGTCAGACCCGAAAAACCAGAAGAAGTCAGAGCCAAAGTGCGGAAAGGGTCGCAGAAAAAGATCCAAAATCCGATCAAAGCGCTGAGCGAATTCCAAAGTCCAACAGAATCTGTGTAATACTGGTTTTACGCACGTAATGTTTTGAATTGTAAAAAAAATTTGTATCTCCTGTACGTAATCGATTACTCTAATGGGTGGCATATCGCTTTATTTCTTCCAAGACGCCATTGTGTCAACACAATTGCGGCTCAAAGCAGAAAATACAAAATCATATATTATCTTGTGATGACAATCGTCATCGACAATCTCCTCTGTGCGGTTGAAGCTAGTTCAAATTTTCTTTTCTGTCAATGTGAACACTTTTTCCTTTTTGATAAATTTTAGGATGGCGTAGAATTTATACATATGTCCTCTTGTAAATTAATTTAATTCTTCATCTTTATACAAATATTTGTGATCTGTTTACGAAAAAAAATGAATAAAAGAAACATTAGAAAATTTTAGTTTCCTTAAGAGTAGCGTCAATTTATGATGGATGATTATTAATTATTTGCTCCTTAGTCTGACTGTTTAGCTCTAGTTTTCTTAAAAACTTATTGATAAAGATCCCTACAAATCTTTATCATGTGCATTATTTTCAATTCTTTTGGTCTTAAATTTATGTATTTCTGTATTTTTCTCTTGTGCTAATTCTTATTTTATGCATTCCAAGAATCACCCTCCTTTCTTGCTTTACCCTCGTAATAGGTATCTCAAAGTTTTTTTGAAACTTTTCAGCAAGAATGTTTAGCAGTTCTTCGTTCTCAGGTAGGTAGAATCATGGTATGTATCATAAAACCTGCGCAAAAATTTTCCAGAAAGCTTTTTATACTAGTAGAAGTCAAATATCAATAAGAATAAAGATTTTGATAAGATTTTAAAATGAAGTATTTATCAATATATGTGATTCTCTTAATTTAATCTTAAATATCTCATTCCAATTTTATGTAAAACTCAATTTTCTTATTGCTATAGGGAACTTTATAAGTTAAGGTTTCATGGAGCTTCATCTCTGTCAGTGTATAAAACATATTTTACAATTCACTTCTTTCCCCTTCAGCAAACTGAAGATGAACTCTAAAGTTGTCTAAAACGCGTCTTTAATTAACAAATTGGAAGGGAAAGAAATGAGTCTTATAACTTATTATGTATATTGACCAAATCTTTTCCTGTTGTTTAAAAGGATCATCACATACTATACACCATCAAACTCTGTCACAGTGTTATTCTTTTAAACAGGAACAGTGGTTTGACTGCTGAAACTTTTTCATTTCTTCATTGAATGACCTTGTTTGATCAAATTCCTTCTTGCAAACCTGTTCATTGACAAGATCATTCAAAAAGATTGCTATTAGCTACTCTTGATTGAGGCTCAATAATTGGACCACTTCTCACAGATTTAACTTTATCGCTAACTTTATTATTGATCAGCGATTGAACAAATCATGTTGCCCTATTTGGCTAATTTTAGGTGCTTTGACTGAGTTCGATGTAGTATTTGAGCATTTTGAAGAGATTAGCTGCAAGTAATAAAATTAGTACTTATTTTTCTATAGAAAAACTGCTTTATAAATGATTTCGGAATTTCATGGTTTCTATAAACACGAACTTGCTCATCGTTTCAAACAAATATGCTCACCATGCTCATCTACTCATGTTATTAAAGTTTGGGTATCTACTTTCGTTGAATATCGATAGTGAAACTGCATAAATGCATATCTTGGTTTTTGACACTGCAGGCTCCCTGTAATAGTTTACTTACTTTCTCAATGAAAAAATACTCAACATTTTTTCGTGAAAACGTGTCTGATTTTTCTCCTCTGTGACGAAAATACTCTGTGAAAATTTCAAGCATTAGTGTAGACTCGTTCTCCTTTGATAGAATAAAATTGGAGCAGAGATTTTGAAACACCACAAACGAGATTTCTATTTTTGCAGTTTCATCGTCGGTATTCTTCACCTGTAAAAATATGCTTTTTTTCAAATTTTATAAATGTTTACCTCTTACTTCTGTTTATCATTTTGTATCTTTTCTGAATCAATGAGAGTACTTATAGAATTTTTTATATACATTCATGGTTTTTAATGTAATAAAAATAAAATTTTCCTTAAAATTTTACTGAACTGTAACACTTATTTGAATTCATTCACCTTGGGTTTCAATTTTGGTTTAGATAATGACTAATACACCTTATAACGCTGTCAAATATCTTTATAATAACTTATTGTTAGGATTGAAACTTGTCTACTTATCAAAAAAAGGATAAAAATGTGTCCATATATGACTCCAAGAGTAATTATCACCGGGAAAAAAAAATTGCAATGAATGAAGAGAGCATCTTACACATCACAGAAATCAAATTTATACAATGGTAAACTTTGTGTGCTGCCAATTTCTTTTCTTACTTCCAAAAAGGTATAAATTTTTTCGGAAGTTTATAAAGGTGGCTGACAGTTGTGCAGCTGTGAATCTATAGCTATCTCAAACAGACATGCAAATCGCGGTTTTTAACTGAAAGAAATGGTTTTTGCCACACTCTTTGCCTTTCTTTTTTTCAGCATGAGCATTGATATAGGGACGTAACAGTGTTCATGCAATTGAAAATTATTTCTGTAAAAGAAACCATATGTTCGGTTTCCATTTCCTTGAAGGAAAAATTAGTAGCAGTGTGAGGAAATTTAATAAAATGAGGAAACCTGTACTGCCGTGCAAAGGGAGAACGCCGTATGAACATTCGAGAGTTGCCAAATTCCCTCTCAGAAAATAGTTATTTTTGGAGAAAGTTCAGGGTATTCCCCCTTGAAATTTTCAGGAACTTCAGGTGAAATTGAGAACAAAATTACCGGAAAAACTGGAGGGAAAATCTTTAGAAATTTTCCCGAAAATTGGTGATTTACCGAGGGAAATTTGGCAACGCCTGAAGCTTCATACGGCGTCCTTCCTAAGCACGGCAGTGTAATGGGGCTTCTTTCACACTCTCTGATTATAGCTATCGCCTTCCTGCTGTGGCTCATATCACCTCACTTTGAGTCAACAGTGGAGCGAAAATTTAAGATCATCAAGCCCTCCAATCCACTTATTCTTTTTGAACTCATTGAAAAAGGGTTCATAGATGAAGGGGCCGAATGAAATATTTAAAATTTAAGAAAAAGTGAAAACAATGGCTTTTAAAGTAATTTGACTAGTATTGATGTGAAATATGATTGCTCGGATTCAGCTTTCTCACAAAGCCCACTCCCAGCAGAATATTTTTAGAAATTGTAAAAATCTGAATCTTTCACTAAAACTTCCCCATCATTTTGGTTCGAAAGTGATACCCTTGAAATTTTCGAATTTCGTTGTAAAAGCTTTGTTCAAGTTGCGGGCCAAACTTTTCCCGCTTTTAATTCAAATGTATTGATTTGATACTTTGATTCGATTGGTACAATTCAACCAATCAGAGGATTGTGCTGTGGAGCCAATATGTTGCTGCGCTCTAGTGGCGGCCTTCGAAAACACTTAAAGCTTTGAGCTTGCGCTGTTGCCAGCTCATACTAAAATGTAAATCTGAGATTCAGTTCGTTGTCAGGTAAATTTGTGCACTGAACACCTTACAAAATTCAGTTTTAATTTTGTAGAAGTCAATCTGCCAATTCTGCTGAATAGAATTGACTTAGTTTTGAAGATAATGCTGCAGCGTCACTACTGTTTTCAATTATTCAGTGCATTCAGGCAACATCAACACTGGCTTAGCTTCCGCAATGTCATAAAGCAACTGTCATTAACCGTCACAATGCCGCATTTGAATCCTGAAGATCAAATAAAAGTGACATACCCCACCCGTTTGACCCTCGATAATTGTAGCCAAGTAATTTGGATTTTTAAATCAATATACTTCAACCATTTTATTGGGGTGTGATGATTTCTTATCGTTGGACACGACTTCAAAGTCGCGTTGGGCCATGAGCGGATAACGACAAAAAAGAGTGTTGCCAACAGTGAGAAATCATTTGAAATTTGAACACTTCAACCGTCAATATTATCACACCATCATGCTTTATTTCAATTTACGGTGGCGTTGTAGAAAACTACGATTTTTTACAATGAAGAAGGAAACTCCAAGTGCTTGACAAAATCCTGATAAAGATTCTCGGAAATTCTTTTGTTCTATTTTAGCGCCAAAGTACAGCTGATCGTTGATTCACCACAAAAAACAAAATTGCCTTTTCTGTTGGTGTGTGTGAAAGTACGTATGTGTGCGTACGTGTGTTTACAGTTCACCAAATCATTTCATTGTTGTGGTCCTCCGCATCAAAAATGTGAATTATTTTTGTTTTATTTCGAATCAAATGGATTTTGAGTGCAATTCAGAGTTAATTGTGTGATTCCAAAGAGCTTTTACTGAAGCGTATGGTTTAAAGTGGTGTAAAATGTAATCGTGCATCCAGCACTGTTTTATAATCCCTAATCAGGCCTATCCTGTCAATTTCTGGAACAAACTCTGCCTAATGTTGCATTATATGATCAACCAGCATAGCAGGTAAACATCCATTTTATTTATTGGAACATGATAGTCGATTTAAGACTGATGTTCTCACCCTAGTAGTAATAATTGTTGGAATTTCTTGTTAGCATTTTATTGCCCACTTCAAGATCCAGCCAAGTGAATTCACATATGTATTTCAGTCGATGTCATAGGCTTTTCAGGTTGCAGATTAAGATCTTTATATAATTTATCAAAACTCTAAGTAGCCTAGTGGAAAACCGTCAAATAAGTAACCTCTTATCTGATAATTCACGTACTGAATGTAATGATATAGTGAGCTGTAACGATAGGGAAGTTGAGTACCACTGGTAACCTTGTGCGCGATAATGGAGGTGGCCCTCCCTCTTTTGATAAGTATCTGAAGCAAACCATGCTTCAACTTTCAAAAATAGTCCTCTTGGCTTTCAGCTCCAGGTTACAGCTGAATTGCCTGAGTCATTCTGCCACATTATTTTATTGTTCCCAGCTGTCCCTTCTTGAAGTATTACCCAATTTGATACTATTGACAGAAATATCTATCCCACTGACTTCGCCTTAACATCAGAGATATTTCCATGAAATGTGTGGCTGCAATCAACGGTTAAATTTGCTGGTTAATATTTTGGAAGCTGTTGACGGTCTGTCAAAGTTTCACCGATGCCCATTTGTTTTTGAAAGTTAAATGTGCCTAGCATGGTCGCTCACTTTTCGCCAAATAATCATTAATCAATTTTTGACTGTGATTAGAATTTCTGATCTGAAAAATATTTCAAGTATCTCGGTCAATGCAGTACCATCTAACCATACTTACCAGACCTTAGCTGTAATACGTTCAAGGGATGAGTTTTTCTTCCCCAGGCCTCTTCATCCCTCTCCAATGAATACGTATGGTTGGCTGCATACTTCTTCCTGTGAATGGCTCCATTTTCTCTGTCGAGTATTTTTTCTCGATTAAATATGCAAATCAACCGCATAGATTTGACTGATATGGTCCATTATGCCTGGAAGTTTGGTTAAAACTTTCATCCCCCTTGTGTGAACCTACTTTCTGAAGCAAGGTACACTCTACTACAGGTATGGACAAACGGGGTGCCTAAGTGGCAGCGCTGAGAATCTAGGCCATCGAGTGATGTCGCAAGTGGCACCGTCTTTGCCGCGCAATTCAAAGTGAGGTTCTGGCAGATCCTGGTAGTTTCAGTAAGCTATCAGATGAATTTTAAAAATTGATAAAACCCCAAATAACGGAAAACTTAACTAAGAACACGAAAAAATAACACACAATTGATTAGACCCACTCTTAGAACCGAAAATAAACAAGTTTTCGATATGGCATTGCAGTCGTACCATTGGGCGCTGTCAAATCTACGCGTTTCGACGATTTTCTAAAATTCCCTTTGTCCGTACTTGTAGTAGAGTGTATCTGGTTTCCGAAGAGTAAAAAACAATTTTCTCACACTATCCCTACAAGATTTTATGCATTTTTGGGAAGACGGAAACAATTGCCCGTTATGGGAAGATGGTATCGGTCAATGTCATTTCATTTGGCATACCCACTGGCAGAAGGTACAGACTAAAAGGCATGATTTCCCGGCTTAATGAAGACTAGGTTGAATTTTTATCTCATTTTTATGAAACCTTGGCTGAGTGTGGCATGCCTGGTTTTTATCTCGTTAATAAGCCCAATTCAGACTATCAAACTTTTCATCCGCCAAAAGTGGACGAACAGTTGAATGGAACAGCATGTGATGCTGTCGTCAATGAGTTGAGTTAGGAACATTTTTGAATCTTCATCGCTTAAGGACAAGTGTGTAATAGCCCATCACTTATCAGCTTGTAAGGGGAAAACAGAAACTTATTGTTAAGAGTATCTTCTTAAAGCCAGTTTAGAGATAGCTGCCGATGTGTGTCTTAGGAAGTGTTTTCATCTCTGTGCAAAAAATAATAAGTAAGCAAAATTTTTGACCAACTTTAAAGGAAAAATTATTGACACCATTGTTACAACCTGCTTAGTCATACAAATGCATTAAATGTCTTCTTAAAGAAAATGTGAAGCTTTTCGTCCCCAATATTTCAAGCCTGGTAAATCAAGGAATTTTTAGGATTCATCAAGAACTGTACTATCTTGGAGAAAATTAGGGAATCAATCCTATTAAGCAGAACCACCCTCTTTCTTTGTTTAGAAATCATTTTTTGAAGGTAAGTTGCAGTCTAGTTGCAGCGATGAAGTTTCGAGCAAAAGAAAAAAAAATTAGGTTTGTAGGTATCGATGAAAAATCTAGTTTCTCTCAAAAGAATTGCAAATAAAGTGGAAGAAAACCATAGTTTTCCTTCAGGGAATTCTCCATTTAAAATTAGATAAGTATAGAAGCCCTCTAGTATAGAATGAGATGATCAAACCACTTAAGACAATATGTAAGATGATCTTACTTAGATTGTGTGAGCATGGCCAACGTCCTCTGAGAAATTTTAGAAAATATTTTGCTTTACTTTCATGTGTACTCTGTCTTTAAATTTTCAAGTCCTGGAATGTCTTTGAATTTTTTAACTTTTCCCAAATTTATCGAAAGGTCCTTGAATTTTACTTACTCCATCTGCTTTTGTATTTTACGATCGGTCAGAAGATGGGCCTTTTTTCTCTCTTTATTTTGGGGTCTTCACAAATTTCAAACAGTCCTTTGTACATTTAACTTCTACTTCTTCATGTATAATTATTAGAAAATGAAAGTAAAGGAAGAGTAAACTTCAATTATCAAAGCATTTTCTAAGGTATTTAAAATATAGCTCATGTAGCCTTTAAAAGTGCTCGATTTTGAATTTTTTTCAAGGCCTTGAAAGTACTTGATTTTTTAAAAGATGCTTAAAAAGTGCTTGAATTTTTCACGTGACCGATTTGCAACGGTTAATTTTTTAATGTTTTGTTTAGTGCTACCAAGCAAATTCTTTCAGGAAAAAAAATGAGGAAGGTTTAGTAGATAAATAATAACAAAAACTATTAAATCCATTTAGCACCACCAGCAGTCCCTCACTGCACTCTTTCCTTCTTGCATGGGCGAATCAAGCAAATTGGCAACTTTGGTTTTTACATTTAAACCTATGGAAATGTATCGATTCTTGGAGGGCCCAGGTGCTCCGACAAGAATCGATTATTTAACATAGGTTTAAACAGAGGGAATCCGATGTTGCCAAATTGCTGGATCCGCCTCTGTTGGTTGTTAATCTTGAGATTGCACAAACCATGTACAATTTTTTTGTACATTCTTCAAAGCACTCGAAATTTTGTCAGAGTCCTTGAAAGATCCTTGAAATTCCATGATTTTACCGTTCAGAACTCTGAAAAATCCTCGATTTCGGTTTTGAAAAGCTACCAGGGATCCTGCGCGAGGTAAAGGTACCCCCTCGTTAGCTTTCGATCGATACATCGATACATTCGTCGATAGGTGAATGAAAGCAAATGGATTATGTTCATCACCTACAAGTGGACCACATTTTGCAATAAGGAACCACTATTTCTGGTTCATTTTAAAAAAAACATACATGCCATTGGTTTCCCTGTGCAGAATGGTTCTCTTATGGAGGAGCCAGAGGTAGTGGTCCCTTATTGCAAAATGTAATCGAATTGTAATGTCGCGAACCGCGATTTTACGATGTGGTCGGCGTGCGACCGAACTTTCGGTTCGTATGACCGAACTTTCGGTTCGTATGACCGAACTTCCGGTTCGTGTGATCGAACTCTCGGTTCTTGTGATCGAACTTTCGGTTCGTGTGATCGAACTTTCGGCTCGTGTGATCGAACTTTCGGCTCGTGTGATCAAACTTCTCTTATCGGTTCGATTCTCGGTTCAAGCAGAGTTCAATCTCAGGAACCGAATGGAGATGTTGCATGTGTGAGGGATTTGCGATTTGACCATTCATTCTTGTGTAAAAGTTCGCGAGAAACACGATGGCGCCACTGGTTTTCTCTGAAATCATCTCCCAAGCTCAGAAAAAGCTCTCAAAGTGAGTCCAAAATGGAGGGGATATCCCACCCTACCCTGAGAGTCCACCTCAACATCAAAACAAACTCTCCATGCAAAGATAGGGAGCAAATACATTAGCAGGGTTGCCGTGTTTTCAGTTTTGGAGTCCCCAAATGAAGTGGCAGCCCTGTCAATGTATTTGCTCCCTATCTTTGCATGGAGAGATTGTTGTGATGTTGAGGTGGACTCTCAGGGTAGGGTGGGATATCCCCTCTATTTTGGCCTCACTTTGAGAGCTTTTTTTGAGCTTGGGAGACGATTTCAGAGAAAACCAGTGGCATCATTGTGTTTCTCGCGAACTTTTACATAAGAACCAACAGTCAAATTGCAAATTCCTCACACATGCAACATCTCCATTCGCTCTGAAAAATTGAATGGTTGGAGGTATATGGAACAGCAAACGTTCGGCTCGTATGGTCGAACTTTTGCAGTGTGTTTTGCAAGTAGGCATTTTTACTTAATCAAGAACAAGAAGGGTCGGTCTCCTACCTCGTTATTTCAACAGTTTTTCAAATCATTTTCCCGTTGAAATTTACGAGTTCTCTAATTTTTTTTCCAACAGCCACCACTACTAGTGCCTCTAGGTCACCCCAATTCCACCTGAAGATCGCAACAGCCCTTGCCCATCCTCCCCACTCCCAGCCCGTAGGCTGCGTCTTCATCTCCATCTTCGAGGATGCCAGTTCACCGGGGAGGCTTTTAATTGGATTCGCTCGGTAATAACGAGTCCATCTGGGCACGTGCCTTTCAGGGGGGAGGGGGCAGCGCACAGCTGTTGGTCCCCCAGGCCGGCGGCACGACGGCAATCTTGTCTTGTGCTTGCCTGAGCGGCGCGGCGGCGGCAGGTGATGCCTCGCGGTGGTTCTTCGCGGCCTAAGAAATTGGGAAAGACGAGAGACCTCTCCTCTTTCTCCCATCTCTCTCTCTCTCTCCCTCCCTCCTCTCTCGGTAGCCACTCGCGGCGAGCATCTGACACAATTATTGAATCACCATTCGCCG